TTTAAAACACATGGTCGTCGCTGGAGAGGGGGAAAAAAAAAAGCTTTTTAAAAAAAAAAAAAAGGGAATTGGCCCCTGCACACGCTGCTGCTCGGAGGTGCTGTGGAGAGGCCGGGTGGCGCGCGGCGCTCGGGCGCATTTCTGGTGCTGTTTGGGTGAAGATTTGCAGGAATTGGGGCTGGAAGTGGCGGAGCCGCGGTGCTCCAGCAGCGCCGTCTTGAGCGTTCGCCTGCGGGCTCGTCTCGTGGAGGAGCCGGTGCCGGGTGGGAAGGGCTGCTCGCAGAGCCCTGACGCTTTTCGGGGGGACCCGTTCGAGGACGGAGCCAGATGCCACGGGGACGGGCTGGCACAGGGCAGGGTGGGCGCATGGGGAGGGCACAAAACGGGTGCGAGGCACCCAGAGCCTGCGGGGCCCCCGCTGCTTTCGCCCCCATCCCAAGCCCCGTCCGTCCCCTCCGCAGCGCCGGGAGCTGCTAATTAGGAGCTCCCCGGGGAAACGAGGGTCGCGGAGCGTTAATCGCAGCGGAGCGAGCGGCCGCGGCCAACCTGCTGGCGGCTGCTGAAAGCCGAGAGGGGCCCCGAGGTCGGAGGGGCGAGGAGGTCGAGGCGCTTTCCGGGAGGTAATTGGTGATATTAATTAGCCTGGCACGCGCGGGCTCCGACAGCCCCACGTGTGCTGCTGCCGGCCGGGTGGGGAGCATCGCCCCCGCTGCTTTGTTTTCCCCCCCCCCCTCTCCACGCACTCGCCTTCGCACGTAACCTCCTGCTCTGTGCAAATAAACCCGTCGCTGCGTGGCTTCGCTCCTCTCCAGGAAAAAAACAGAACTGGGGGGCTCCCCCCCCCCCCCCAAAAAAAAAAAACACAAAAACAAACAAAAAAAAACCACAACAGGATGAGGGTTCTCATCCTTCCCCCCCCCAAAGCCCAGACCACCCTCGCGGGGAGCCCAGGGCCCCCGCGCGCAGGGACCCCGCGGCGAGGTGCGAGTGATGGCTTTTGGCAGCGCCGGCGGCACATGGTTCGGATTAGGCGGGTGGTCAGCGCTGGGGCGCGCGCACCGGCCCTCGGCCCCGCGGAGGGGAGCTGGCAGCCGGCAGGCTCCAAAACGAGCCTTAAAAAAAAAAAAATAATAATGCTGGAGAAAACCCCCAAACTTTCCATTGTTGCTGTCGGAATCGTTAAATTTAAAAAGCCATGAGCCAGCCCTGGAAAAACACATCATTTCCCCAAAAAAAACTGTATGGGGCAATGAACGCAGCACCCCAAACGGGGCTGGTGCTCCCCGAGCTCGCAGGGCGCGCACCCAAACCGAGCACCTCCCGTGCTGCCAAGGGCTGCGCTATACTTGTATATTTTTTTTTCCCTCCAGCCAGTTCATTTTTTTTTACTTTTTGGCTGCAGACCCTGCAGTGATTTCCCCCCAAGACCCCACCTTGCTGATCGGCTCCTCGCTGACCGCCACCTGCACGGTCAGCGCCGACTTCCACCTGCGCGCCGAGGACCTGTACTGGACCCTGAACGGCCGGCGCCTGCCCGCCGCCTCCTACGCCGCCCTCGGCCCCACCACGCTCAGCGTGGCCCTCGCCCGCCTCAACGGCTCCAAGCAGCAGTCGGGGGACAACCTGGTGTGCCACAGCCGGGACGGTGGCATCCTGGCCGGATCCTGCCTTTATGTCGGACGTAGGTTGGCGCGGCTGCGGGGTGCGCGGCACCCAGGGGCGCTTTGCCGCGGGGCAGGGCGGGGAGCAGCTCGGCTCCCCTGGAAACGTTTCAGCGGGATGAATTTGATAAAAAAAAATAAAAAAATAAAAATATTTCTTGCTACGGCACGCCAGAGCCGGTGTTTGCCGCCGCCCGTGTGCCCCTCTCTGCGTTTTCACCTCTCTGCGCTCTCGGGGCTTTGCCGCTCGCTCCCGGACCCGCTGCGGCTCGGCGGAGCTCGCAGCAGAAAGGCTGCTCTGGCAACCCTCGGTGAAATTACAGTTGTCCGAATCAATAATCATAAGATTTTATCTCGGGCTATTTTAAGGATGATTTTACGTCCTAAGAATACAGAGGCTTAACTGGGAACAGAGCTTCTATTTTTTTTTTTTTTTTTTTTCCTTTGGTTGCTGTTCCCAAAAGAAAACAGCTCCGGAGCCTGGCGCAGGCAGCTGCAGCCCCTCGAGCAGGGGCTGGACGGGCTCGCTGCTTCGCTCGCCGGTGGCTTTGGGGGCTGCCCGGTGGCACCGTCCTCGTGGGCACGCGATGCGGGGGCTGGCTTGGTGCTGCTGGGACCCGAGCGCCGGTGTTTGTGCCGCTCACGGAGCTGCTTCATCCCCCTCCGTCCTTTTTGTCCTCTTCCAGTGCCCCCAGAAAAACCAGTCAACATCTCCTGCTGGTCCAAGAACATGAAGGACCTCACCTGCAAGTGGGCTCCGGGCACCGAAGGGGAAACCTTCCTGCACACTAACTACACGCTCAAGTACAAGCTCAGGTACTCGTGCCTCCGGGTTGATTCCTCCTATTCCAGACGTGACTCTGGGATTTGGGGGTTTACGCAGAGGGGAGCTCCGTGGCTCCCACCTGGTGGTGCTGGGTGGGATTGGGTTGGGGGGGGGGTCCCCGTTTTACCCACCCCAGGCACCGTCCTTGGGTGCTGGCAGGGCGCCAAGCTCCGTACGTGCTGGGGAGGAGGCGAAGGTGAAATCCCCTCCCTGGGATTATTTGGGGTTTGAGTGGGAGGGGGGATATGGGGCAGGGAGCTGCCAATTCCTCCGGGCAGGCAGGTGTGAGGGGAGGGGGGTGGAAAAAAAAACACACTGGGGGTCCCCGCTGGCATCACCGCCCCCGTGCCCGGTACCGGGGACTCACGGCCCGCCCGCAGGTGGTACGGCCGCGACAACACGTGCCAGGAGTACCACACGGCCGGGCCCTACTCCTGCCACATCCCCAAGGACCTGGCCCTCTTCACGCCCTACGAGATCTGGGTGGAGGCGTCCAACAGGCTGGGGGTGGCCGTGTCCGACGTCGTCATGCTGGACATCCTCGACGTGGGTGAGCGCCGGCACCGGGGGGGCTCCGGGGAGGGCGATGGGCGAGCGGAATCGCCCCTAATGGAATTAGGATTTTTCCCCCAAATGGGCACCAGTGGGCGTCTCCTTCACCCCTCGGCCGTGCCGCTGTCCCCGCAGTGACCACGGACCCCCCGGCCGATGTCCACGTCAGCCGGGTGGGCGACCTGGAGGACCAGCTGAGCGTGCGCTGGAGCTCGCCGCCCGCCCTCAAGGATTTCCTCTTCCAAGCCAAGTACCAGATCCAGTACCGCGTGGAGGACAGCTCGGAGTGGAAGGTGGGACGGGGACCGGGTGGCATCCCCGGGGTGGCACCCACCCTTATCCAGAGGTCGGGGGGGGTGTGCACAGGGTTGAGCCTCTCGCTTGCTGTCCCCCCCCCCAGGTCGTGGATGATGTGGGCAACCAGACCTCGTGCCGCCTGGCCGGCCTCCGCCCCGGCACCGTCTACTTCGTCCAGGTGCGCTGCAACCCCTTCGGCATCTACGGCTCCAAAAAGGCCGGCATCTGGAGTGACTGGAGCAACCCCACGGCCGCCTCCACCCCACGCAGTGGTGAGCCCCCCTGCAGCTCCCCAAACCCCCTCCCCTGCTCCCCCCTCCCCATCCCCGTGTGCGCCCTTGGCCGTGCGCAGAGGCCGCTGCGTGCCCGGCACCTGGATTTCTTGCAAAGGAGCCAATTCGGAGCTCTGATTTCCCAGCAGGGAGCCAAAAAGCCACTCGTTTCCCTACCTCAAGTCCCCCCTATTCATGGGGGCGTCCCCTCTTTCCCCCTCTCCATGATGGTGGCCCTGACCCCCGTCCCCTCGGTGTCCCCACAGAGCGGGCGGCGGGGGGCTGCGACCCCAAGGGGGGCGAGCAGAACACGACGCTGCGGCGGGAGCTGAAGCAGTTTTTCGGGTGGGTGAAGAAGCACGCCTACGGCTGCTCCAACCTCAGCATCAAGCTCTACGACCAGTGGCGCGTGTGGCTGCAGAAATCGCACAAAACACGCAACCAGGTAGGTAAGGAGCCTTTCGCACTTCTTTTCTCCCTCCTTCCTCCGGCACGGGGAGGGAAATCGGAGGGATGTGGGGGAGGAGGGGAAAAGGGGGGGGTCCCCGCACCCCCGCAGCCTCTCCCCGGGGGTGGCCTCGAAGCCGGGCTCTGCTCTCTCCGCAGGTTCTACCCGGCGATAAGTTGTAGCCCCCGCGGGGCCGAGCGCCGGCAGCAGGGCACGGGGCGCCCGGCGCCCGCCCGGGGTCACCCTCGCCCGCCCCGTCCCCGCCGCCGCGCTGCGCCGGGGGGGGGCAAGAAGAAGGCAGCCGGGACAAGGAGCAGCAGCAGCAGCCCCGCACCCCGCTGCAAGGGGGGGCCGCAGGGGGTGATCCGGGGGGTGCGGGTTGGGGCTGGCCCCCCGCGGAGCCCCCCGCGTCCTCCCGCGCCCCATGGCACCGAGGGGACCCCCCCCAGCACGGGGGGGCTCGGGGCTTTTGTTCCGTAAGCGCCAGCCGGAGCAGCAGGGGGGGTGAAAGGGGGGATCCCCAACCCCCCGGTGGGTGCAGCCCCCCCTCCCCAGGGCTGTAGTTTTTGGGTGTTATTCCCCCAGGGCGGGGAGGGGCTGCGGGTGCCCACGGGGCCGCGTGCGAGCGCACGGGGGGGGGGTCCGTCCCCGGAGCGCCCCGCGGGCTGGTTTCAGGCTGCTGGGGTTTGCTCAGTGCCTGCTCTAATTTTTGATTCAAGCCAGCCTTATTTTGGTTACATTTCAGACAATTAGGAACAGATTTAAGCTTAATGCCAATAAACCTCTCAAACCCCACGGGGGCCTGCGTCAGTGGGGCAGCGGCAGTGCGGGGGGGGACGGGGACGCAGCGGGCAGCCGAGGGGCCAAGGTGCCAACATCCCCGTGTCCCAGGGGGGCCGAGCTGAGGGGTGGTGACGTTCAGGGCCCCACAAACCTCAAGCCAGTTCCAAAAAGCTGCTTTTATTGTGGGGTGACCATAAAACGGGTGCTCGCAGGGTGCTGTCCCCGTGCCCGGAGCCTGCTCACGGTGGCTGTGGGGTGCGGAGAAGCGCTGGGGGGCAGCACCCGTCCCCATGGGGACCCCCAGCACCGTGGGGCTCAGGGCAAGTTGTCCTGGGGTCCGTGGGATTCCCTTGGGGCCGTGGGATCCCCTTTTTGGGGCCATGGGATCCCTTTTTTGGGGCCGTGGGTTGTGGTTTTCCTGGGTTCACAGCCCCTCTGCAGCCAGCGGAGAGTGGGAGCAGCACCAGCACCCACACTCAGGATCTGGGAGGACCCCCAGGAGGGGCTCTGCACCCCCCAAAAAGAGCCCAGAGTGAAGGTGCCCCCCTCACGGGGGTGCCGTGGGGGGCGCAGAGGGAGCGGGGCCGGCCGGGTGGGGGGCGCAGGGGGCGAGCGGGGCCCCCCTGGCGCGGGCAGAGCCGCGCTGCCCGGCCCCTGCAGCCGTTCCCACGGGGCCGCCCATCACTCGGCTTCTTCCGAATCGTACTTGAGGTCCTGGAGAATTTCGCTGATTGCCTCAATGGTTTTAATTAGCCTACGAGAGCGGATGGAAACTATAAATAAAGCCCATATGGAGCGTATTATCTGGGCCGCCTCGCGTTCCCCGCGCTGTTTATGAAACACTCAAGCCCGGGGAGGCCGACGAGACCGCGGCCGCGCGGCATCGCCAAACAATCCGCGGGGCTCCAAACAAGAGAAGCTTTTGAAGGCACCATCTGGGCCCCCCCCTTGGCCCCGCTGGAGGGAAGGAACCGAGGAAAAGTCCAGGATGGGGGGCTCCCCTGAGGATGCCGGCTCGGGGAGGGGGTCCTCATCCCCAAAATTGGGGTAGGGGGGATGGTGGTGGAGTAAGGGGGACCCCTTCGTGCCCACCTACTTGTGTTTGAGCTCCCGCACCTCCTGCTGGTGGGCGTCCACGCCGGGCTCGTCCTGCACCCGCTGCCGCGCCAGCTGGAGCTGCGCCGTCTGCGGGGGGGACACGGAGAGGGGCTGAGAAAACCCCCCTGGGGTGGAGAAAACCCCCCTGGGGTGGGGGGTCCTGTGTCGTGTGCCCCCAGCCCCACGCACTCACCAGCTGCAGCTTCTCCTGCTCCCGTTCCTGGAGGCGGGCGAGGTGCTGGGCCAGCTCGGGGCGGCCGTGCTGGTCCCGTAGCCGTGCCTGGAGCTGCAGGACCTCGCGGGAGATGCGGCTGAACCCCAGCGTCAGCTCGTGCACCAGCTGCCGGTAGCGCGGGAAGTCGTAGTGGGGGGCACTGCTCAGGTAAGCCCGGTGGCCTCTGGGGGAATAAAAGGAAAAAATAAAATAAATAAAATAAAATAAAATAAATAAAATAAATAAAATAAAATAAAATAAAATAAAATAAAATAAATAAAATAAAATAAAATGTCAGTGGGGTGCAATGTGAGCCACGTGGGTGCTCTCCGTGTTCCCCATGTCGTGGTGCAGCCCCCCGCAGGGGGTTGTGTTTTGGTTTTGGGGTTGGAGGGATCCCTTTCGCTCCCCCGGAATAAATCATCCCCCGGCTGCTGCGAAAATGGGATGCAGGTGTCCGGGGCGGGCGTCCCCTGCCAGCTGGAGCTCGTCAGCAACCCCGGCAGCTTGATCCCATGGGGGTGCAGAAATAGGGAGGGGGGAAGCCAGTCTGATGGGGCTGGGGGATTCCACCCCATTAGGGCTGGGGGAATTTATCCCCATAGGGTTGGGGGCTTCCATCCCATTAGGGCTGGGGGATTTATCCCGATAGGGCTGGGAGATTCCATCCCAATAGGGCTGGGGGATTCCATCCCTTTAAGGCTGGGGAATCCATCCCCATAGGGCCAGGGGATTCCATCCCAATAGGGCTGGGGGATCCATCCCATTAGGGCTGGGGATTTCCATTCCATTAGGTCTTGGGGATCCATCCTGATAGGACTTGGGGATTTCATCTCATTAGGGCTGGGGGATTCCATCCTGATAGGACTGAGGGATTTATCCCAATAGGGTTGGGGACTTCTGTCCCATTAGGGCTGGGGGATTTGTCCCATTAGGGCTGGGAGCTTCCATCCCAATAGGGCTGGAGGATTCGTCCTGATAAGGCTGGGGGTTTCCACCCCGTTAGGACTGAGGGATTTATCCCGATAGGGCCGGGGGATTCCATCCCAATAGGGCTTCACCACCGCTGCGAGGGCCCCGTTCCCGTTCCCCGTTCCCGTTCCCATTACTCACTCCTCCAGCAGCCGGTACGCCTCCACGCGCTCTCCCTGCAGGGCGTAGAAGCGCTGCAGCAGCGCCCGCACCGCCTCGTCGGTCTGGGGAGGGGGGGAAGAGAAAGGGGCGGCGGGGACGTGGGGCACCGGCCCGGTGCCCGCTCCCTCCCCGGTAACGACCCCAACGCACGGCTCCGGTACCGCAGCACCGAGGCGCCCCCCGGGGAGCTCCGTGCCCGGTTCTGGTGGGTCAGAACCGAGCGCGATCCCGGTCCGTAAGCGCGCACGGAGCATGGGACCGGGGAGCAGCACCGGGACCGGGAGCACGGGACCGGGGATCGGTACCGGGAGCCACCGCAGAGGCACAGCGGAACCCGCCCCCCCCCCCCCCAGCCACACGGCCCGGTCCCGGTTACCCCAGGACCCTCCCAACCCCTCGGGGAACCGCTCCCGGTCCCGGTCCCACCCCGTTACGGCCCCGTCCCGCTCACCATGGCCCGGTCCCGGGCCCTGCTCGGCGGCGGTGGCGGAGGGCGCAGGCCCGGTAGAACCGGAGGCGGAGCACGGCGCAGCGCGGCACCGCCGCCACCTGCAGGCACCGCCCGGCATCACCACCCCCCCCCCCCCTCCAGCCCCCTTTTTACACAAAACCACGGCATTTCGGGACAAAAAAACAACAGGACAGGGTGCGAACGCTGAGATATTTTATTGGGACGGCGCCGTGGCCGCGCGGGGCCGGGCCCCAAGGGCTCTACTTGACCTTCTTCTTGGGGCGCAGGTTGTTGGTGTGGCCGCACTTCTTCTTGCGGCAGTTGACGGCGCGGGGATGGAGGCGAGCGTAGCACCTGGAAAAGGGAGCAGAGAAACATCAGCGAGGGGCAGGTGAGAGGAAAAAGGGCTGGAAAAGGGTTTTTAGGGAAAGGGATGAAGCGTGGGGAGAGCCCTGGGTGATGTGGGAGGGTTTTAGGGGGGCCGGGGCCGTACTTGCGGCAGATCATTTTGTCGCAGTTGTATTTCTGGGCGAGCTGCCGCAGGGAGGGCTCGATGATGCCCCCGCGCAGGCGCAGCACCAGGTGCAGGGTGGACTCTGGAAGAGAGACAAACATCAGCGGGCACCGGGGGGGGCCACCAGGGACCACCCGGTGCCGCCGGGGGGGCCCAAATCCTTGTGCAGGGCTCCTCCACCACAGGCACCTTTCTGGATGTTGTAGTCGGCGAGCGTGCGGCCATCCTCCAGCTGCTTGCCCGCGAAGATCAGCCGCTGCTGGTCGGGGGGGATCCCTGAAAAAAAAAAGGGGGGGGGGGGGGTGAAGGAAGCCGTTAGCACCGGGTAACGGGGTGAGGGGGGGGGCAGGGCCGGGTGTTGCCGGTACCTTCCTTATCCTGGATCTTGGCTTTGACGTTCTCGATCGTGTCGTTGGGCTCCACCTCCAGGGTGATGGTTTTGCCCGTCAGCGTCTTCACGAAGATCTGCATCTTGGCACCGGGGGGGGGGGTCTAGGAGGAGGGAGGGGGGGGGGGGTTGAGGCCGAGTCACCGCCGCCCGCCTTAGGCCGAGGCCCAGCCCCCGCTCCCGGCCCCGCTCCCCTCAACCCCCGGGCCTCAACCCACGACCCTCAGGACCCGCCCCGGGCCCCATCCCACGTCCCTTGGGCACCATCCGCGCCCCTCGGGGCCCGTCCCCGACCCCCGGTGCCCCCCCCGGTGCCGCCCCCCCCCCCCTCAGGCCCCGCAGCCCGCCCGCACCGCGCCTCGCCGCCGACGAGAGAGAGAGAGAGCGGAACCGGAAGCCGCCCGCCGCTACGTCACAACCGGTCCCCACCCCCCCCCACGGTGCGCGCAGGCGCAGTGCGGAGCTGCCTCAGGGCGGCCGCGGGCCCGGTTGTTGGGCCCCGAGCACGGCCCCGACCCCCCCCCCGGTCCCTCCCGGTCCCCCCCCCCGGTCCCCGCCGCCCTCCCGCAGTTCCAGGAGCCCCAGGGGCAGCGGCAGCCCCCCGGGCAGCAGCCCCCAGGGGGGGTCCCCGCGGTCCCGGGCACGGCTGGGAGCCAAATGGGGACCACGGCGGGGCCTGAAGTTTTTAAGTTGGTTAAATAAATAAAAATAAGTAAATAAAATAAATAAAAATAAATAAATAGCATTTAAATAAATAAGTAAAAGCAGGTGCCAGGGGCAGCCACACTGGGGGATCCTCCTAGGGGGGAGGGCGCTAAACTTTTAAAGTTCATTAAATACATAAAAATAATAATTTAAAATAAAATAGGTCCCAGGAGCAGCCGATCTGGGGGCTTCTCCTGCGAGGGGAGGCTAAACTTTTACCAAGTTTCTTAAATAAATGAAAAATAAGTAAATAAGAACGTGCCCTGGGGCTGCCGTGCACCAGGGGCTCCTTCTGGGGGTGAGGGGGGCTACACTTTTTGTTGAAGTTCCTTAAATAAATTAAAAAATAGATATAAATTGATAAATATAGATAAGAATAAACAAAAATAAATAAATAAATATATAAATAAATAAAATAAATAGAAATAAATAAATAAAAGCAGGTCCCAGGTGGCGGCCACACCAGGGGCTCCTCCTGGGGGAGGGCCTAAAATGTTGCTTAAGTTCCTTAAATAATAAATAAATACATAGATAAATAAATAAAAACAGATCCCAGACTGGCTCTTCTGTGCAAACCGAAGGCCGGGTGCCGCTGCTCTCCTGAGCACACAAACGAGGAGGGACAGGAGGTGTTTAAACCCTTTTTTTTTTTTCTTTTTTTTTTTTACTGATCTGCCCGTATCACGCCGTGGGGTTTATGCTACAGCGGCGGCCTGGGGATCCGTCAGCAGGGGATCCGTCCTCCTGAGCTTTCTTTGCTCGGCCATCGCTTCCCTCTGCCCGAAATCAACGCCCGCAGGAACACGGGAATATAAATAGGGGAATAGTTCTGGGGGCCCCGCGGGGCCGTGCGCCTAGTCCAGGCCGTTGGCAGTGTCCTCGTCTGTTAGACTCTGTCCGTTCACGGCCGGGAAATCGTAGGGGCCTTGCGAGAGATCCTCGAACTCCTGGCTCATGGTGGGGGAGATGATGTCGGGGCTGGTGTCGCAGGACTCCGTGCTCTGCTCCGAGGTAGCGATGGTGGTGGTGGTGCTTTTGGGAACGGGGTCGAAGTCGTCGTCGTCTTCCAGAATGGGGGATTCGTGGATGTCTGAAAGGGAAGGGGCAGGCGTTAGTCGGGCCGCTTGAGCCGCCTGAAAAAGACAGGTTTGAGAGGTGCTCCGGCAGAGAATTTCCTCCTTTTTAATTCAACATTTTGCCAGCAATCCAAAGGAACTCGACACCACTGAACTGAGCAGCCCTATATGGCTTTGGGACTTCTTACAGGGACACATAACGCTACAAAGCAGCTCCCCGGACTCTCACTGCAGCAGTCGGGCGCTGCCACGCGCCTGCTGGCGTCATCAGCTCCGTGGGGCAGCCCCAAATTCCACAACCAGCCCCAAATGTTCCTAGCAGAGGGATCCCTCCCGGGGGCACGGAGCCGAGGGGAAGCCCGGCAGAAGCCCCCACTCACTGCTGAAAGCCTCCGGGTACTGCTTGGCCAGCTTCCCTTTCAGCGTCCTGCGGGAGGAGAAGGAGAGAGCCGAGTTCACACCAAACCCTACAAATTATTCCCCTTTTCAGCCCCCCCACCCCATTCCTCTCTGTTATTTCCACTCCCCGAGCCCCCAGCTCTGGGGTCCAGCCCCCCCACGCCGTGACACCACCCACGCTGGATCCCCTCGACCCACAGCGATCCCCGGGGCCGATTCCCGGGGCCGGGGGGGGGGGAGCCGTGGGGGGGGTCCCGGTGCCTACCGGATCCTGCGGAAGATGCTGTCCAGGTCCTTCTTCATCTCCACCAGCGTCCGGGTGTGGTGCGCGAAGCGCTCGCTCATCTGCTGCATGCGCAGGCTCGACAGGTTGTTGAAGTTGAGCAGCATCTCGTTGGTCTTCTCGAAACGGTCCAGCCTGGGGGGGGAGCGGGGAATCAGGGGGAGCCCTGACGGGTGCCCGGGACCACCGGGAGCCACCGGGAGCCACCGGGTGGGGGTCCCGCAGCCCCCTCTTCCTCCACCCCCCCCCCGGTACTCACATGTTCTTCTGGGCCAGGATGATGGCGTTGACGTCCTCGGCGTTCACCATGCCCAGCACCCGGCCGCAGAACACCCGGGAGGCGGTGGGCTCCATCACGGAGCCGCCTGCGGGACCGGCACCGGGAACGGGACCGGGAACGGGAACGGAACCGGGAACAGCACCGGGGCTGGGAGCAGCACCGGGAACAGCACCGGGATTGGGACTGGGATCAGGACCCGGACCGGGACCGGGAACCGAGCACCGGGAACCAGGCCCCGGGCCCCCCCCGCAGCCCCTCCCCTCCCCCCCACGCCCGGTACCGGCTCCTCCCCTCCCCCCCCCGTTCCCTTCCCGGCCCCGGCGGCGGCCGCGCCTCGCTTCCGGGGTTCGGGGTCACGGCGAGCGTGACCCCGCGGCGGCGCCGTGCGTGTGCGTCACGGCGCAAGGCCGGAAGTGACGCCACCCCCCCCCCCTCCCGGTACCGGATCCCGGTACCGGCCCTCACGGGCGCGGAGCCCTCCGGGTCCCGGCCTAGGCCATGGAGCGGCCCTGTAGGGGCTGAGGGGATCCCTCGGCGGCTCCCTCCTCACCCCGAGCGCTCACCGGTACCGGGGATTTGAGCGGCGGCGGCGGTTTCCCGGTGAGCCCCCCCCACCGGGGGGAGCCGAATGTGCGCTGCGGCCCCTTTAAGGCGGCGCCCTCCCCGCCCCCGCGGCGCTGACGGGCGTTGGCGCCACCCAATGGCGTGAGCGGGGCGGGCGGCGGAGGGCCAATGGGAGAGAGGGGGCGGGGCCGGAGGGGGGCGGGGGGTGGCAGCGGCGGGGGGCGCGCGGCGGCGGCCGTTGCTAGGGGGAGACCCCGGGGAGCCGCACGGTGAGGGGGGGGGGGGGGGGGAGCGGGGACGGGACTGGGACCGGGGACAGGACCGGGTTCAGGGACGGGGACCGGGAACCGGACTGGGCTCGGGGACCGGGACCGGAGCCGGTAACCGGAGATTGAGACTGGGACCGGGGCCGGGGGCTGGGGACCGGGGGCCCGGTAACGGGGACAGGGCAGTAAAGGGGCCAGGGACCGGGGACCAGGGCCGGGAACCGGAGACCAGGACGGGGACCGTGGCCGGGGGCTGGGGGCAGGACAGGGGTCGGGGACCGGGACCGGAGCCGGTAACCGGAGATCGGGACCGGGGCTGGGGTCAGGGGCCAGTAACCGGGGTCAGGGCCCGAGTCGGTGACCGGGGGCTGGAGCCCAGGTCAGGGACAAGGACCGGGGACCAGGGACAGGACGGGGGTCGGGGGCCGGGGCCTGAGCCGGGGACCGGGGCCAGAGTCAAGGACGGGGACCGGGGACCGGAGCCGGTAACCGGAGATTGGGACCGGGACCGGGGTCAGGGCCAGGCCTGGGGCTGGGGCCAGAGCTGGAGCCGGTGACCGGGAACAGGGACCGGGGACGGGGCTGGGCGACTGCGTCCAGAACCGGGACACCCCCGGTCCCACCCCCCCCAGCCCAGCTCTGCTCGGTTGTCCCCCACCGGGAGGCCCCGGGTCCGAGCAGCTCCCGGCTCCGTGTGCGCCTCTGCTCCCCTCCCGGTAAGCACCGTTCGCCCCCGCAGGTCGCTGCGCCGCCATGGCTTCCAGCGAGGAGGAGGCGAGCACCGACTGCCCGACCCCGGTGGGCACCGACACGGCCCCGTCCTGCCCGGACTCAGACCCGGACCCGGCTCCCGCTCAGTCGGACAGCACCGAGGACTTCGAGGTGCTGGAGGAGGATGAGGACGACCTGAGCGAGCTGCCACCGCTGGAGGACGTGGGGCGGGCACGGGCCCCTCCGCCACCGGAGCCACCGGAGGACGCCCGGTGCCCGGAGCAAGACCCGGGGGAGACCCCTGAACCCCCCCAGGAATGGCTGGACGTCTTGGGTAAGCAGCAGGAGGGCGGCAGGCACCGGGAGAGCTCAGCGCGGAGGCGGGCGAGGGCCTTTTGCCCTTCCCCTCCCGGCCCTAAAACGCCTCCGGTTTGGTTTCTCCTCCCGGGGCAGGGAACGGATTGCTCAAGAAGAAGACGCTGGTGCCGGGCCGGGGGGCGGAGAGCCGCCCCCGCAAGGGCCAGGAGGTGACCATCCGCCTGCGGGCAGCGCTGGAGGACGGCAGCGTGGTGGAGGAGGACCCCGGGCTCACCTTCACCTTGGGGGACTGCGACGTTTTGCAGGTGGGGCTGGGGGAAGGCAGCGCCCGGGATGGGGGGAATAAATGTGGGGGCTCAGGAGCAGCTGTGCTGCTGCAAGCGTCTTTCTGCAATGTTTTTCCCCCCCCCAGGCTCTGGATCTCTGCGTGCAGCTGCTGGAGTTGGGAGAAACGGCTTTAATCGTGTCGGATGCCAAGTATTGCTACGGCTCGCACGGCAGGTGAGCGGGGAGGGCGCAAAACAGGGCAGAGAGGCCCCAAAAAGCGTTGTGACCCCCCCCCCGCGGGACAGCCCTCGCTCCTGGGGCTCCGATTTCCCCTCGGGGCAGCAGGCAGGCAGAGCTGAGCGCGTCTTCGTGCCCTTTCCACACGCAGGAGCCCGGACATCCCACCCAACGCCGCCCTGACGCTGGAGGTGGAGCTGCTGGAGGCTCGGGATGGCCCCGACCTGGAGCTGCTGAGCGGGAAGGAGAAGGCGGCGCTGGCAAACCGCAAACGGGAGCGGGGCAACTTCTACTACCAGCAGGCAGACTACGTGCTGGCCATCAACTCCTACGACATCGCCCTCAAGGTCATCGGCTCCAGCTCCAAAGGTAGCCACGGGGTTGATCGGGGGGGCTCCCGGTGCTGCCTCCCCCTCCCCTGCAGCTCATCTCCGGGGTCTCCGCAGTTGATTTCAGCCCGGAGGAGGAGGCCGAGCTGCTGGAGGTGAAGGTGAAATGCCTCAACAACCTGGCGGCCTCGCAGCTCAAACTGGACCACTACGAGGCAGCCCTCAAATCCTGTAACCTGGTGCTGGAGCACCAGCCGGGGAACATCAAGGCGCTCTTCCGAAAAGGGAAGGTGAGGTGCTGAAGGCAAGGTGAGGCGCTGCCATCCCTCCTTTTGGGACAAGGGACGCTCCCGAGCCGTCCCCGCTCAATCCCTGCCCCGTTTCCATCCAGGTCCTGGCCCAGCAGGGCGAGTACAGGGAGGCCATCCCCATCCTAAAAGCAGCTCTGAAGCTGGAGCCTTCAAACAAGGTAAGCTGAGCGGCCCCCAGGACTCCAGCCTCACGGATGGGGTCCTCTGCACCGGGCTGAGACCCCCCCAATGTCACCAAAACGTCACCAGCAGCCCCTGAGCGGGGTTGGGGTAGTTTTAGGGTGAGGCCCCACGTGCCAGCACCCGGTGCTGAGCTGCTGGGTGCCTTATCTGGGCTCCTCGCTGCCCTTTGGTCCGGTTGGTAGCAGAGCTCCGTGCCAGGGAGGCAGCTCCGGGTCCCTGCCAGCTCGCTCAGCAGCCCCAAGCGTGATTCATTGGGGCGGTCCCCCCCCAAAAAAAAAAAAAAAAACACCACCCAGACCTCAGAGCACAGGCCAGGGCGATCTGCGGGTCAGGAATTTCCTGCCAGTTAATGATCAGCTGCTGGAGCCTCGGGGAAATCAGCCGCCTGTGCCAGCCTCAGGAAGTGGCCCCAGCAGGAGCTGCGCTCCCCGCGTGGGCTTTTTGGGGTTTTTCCACCTCTTCCTTGAGTTTTTTTTCAGCAGAATATCACAGCTCGCCCCGCGTTCCTCGCTGCCTGGTGGTCACGGGGAGGATGGGGCGCTCGGCGGCCTCGCAGCACCCCCGGGGTCTGGTGGTCTGAGAGCCCTTGTGGGGTGGGATGAGAGGGTCTCGGGGACGGGAGGAGGGGCTGGCGTTGGTCCCACACCAAACTTGTGAGTTCTGGTGGTGCCTGAGCCCCTCGGTGATCCCCTTGGGCTGGCCCCGGTGTTTCGGGGAGGTGCTGGAGCCTCCCGGAGCGCCGTGTCCCCAGCAGAGGGCACAGCACGGCCGTGGCACCGGAGCCACCGCCGCATCCTCGCTGCCACCGCGGGCTCGAGGCCAGCCTCGGCCCCCCGATGCCATAAAGGGAGCAGGACCCGGAGCTGTAGGACGCTGGGTCTCCCTGAGGGAGAACCTTTTCTGCCTCAATTAGAGGGGAAAATCCTTTTCCTGCTGCCTGCCCTCAGCCCTGGGCTCCGCTCGCTGCTGCCAGCCAGGGGCGGCTCTGGTTGGTGACCGTGAGGGATGGTGACACGCTCAGAGCCGGGTTTGGGGAGGAAAAGGGGAATTTGCAGCCCCAAAACGTGGCTCTGGATGGGGAGTGAAGGAGCTGTGGCTCTCGAGCAGGCGGGGAACCGCGAGTGGTGCTCAGCACAGGGGAATGGGGCAGGATCAGGGGGACGGGGCAGGATCAGGCCCTCAGAGCTGCTGCACGGAGCTGCCGGGACCCCAATCCCTGCCCCTCGGCGCTGATCGCCCCCGTGCTGTGTTTTTTTCCCCCCACCCCAGACCATCCACGCTGAGCTCTCCAAGCTGGTGAAGAAGCACGCGGACCAGAAGACGGTGGAGACGGAGATGTACAGGAAGATGCTCGGCAACCCCAGCGCCGGCAGCGCCCCGGTCAAGTGCAAAGACAAACTGCCCTGGGTAAGGGGCGGCGCTGGCGTCCCCACGGGGGGGGGACACAGCAAAGCTTTGGGGTCACCCAGGAGGTGGGGAGCACAGGGAACGGGGTTAGGGGGAGCAAACGCAGCTCTCGGCCTTTTTGGGGCCGCGTTATTGGGGCTGCTGGTTCCCACCCCGCTGTCCCCGTCCCCACCATGCTGTCCCTGTCCCCTTTGCAGTCCATCCCCTGGAAGTGGCTCTTTGGGGCGACAGCCATCGCGCTGGGCGGCGTGGCCCTGTCCGTGGTCATCGCAGCGAGGAACTGAGGACAGCAGCTCCTGGACACGTTTGTTTGGTTTTTGTTTTTATTTTTTCCCCTGTCCCCAAATCCCCTCCCCAGCATCACCCAGCAGCCCCGTAAGGATCCTACGGGGCCGGAGCCTCAGGTCCCGGACCCCACGGCCCCACAGCTCCACCCGGGGAGGACGCGGCGCTGCCGTGGGGCAGGGAAGAGGCTGCTGAAGGGAAACTGCACCAAGGGATAAGGTGGGGACGTGCCCGGGGCACACGCAATGAGATTTTTTTCCCCCCCCTCCCTCGGCACTTCCCCGGAGCGTGCAATGCCCAAAGGAAGCCAAAGAACCCCGGGGACACCACGGACACGGAGAGGGAAGCGCTGGAGCCCTCGTATCCCGGCCGGTCTTGTAGGGCCGGAGCCGTGGGGGTGTCCCCCACCCCTCCCTGCTTCACCCCGCAGCTCTCTCCAGCCCTGGGCCCCCCCATCTTCGGGTTCCAGCTCCGCTCGCAGGGGTGGAAGGCGCTGCTCCCCCCGAACCAACTGTGAACCCCCAATAAAGGACAACTCCTGCACAGCCGGGGCTCCTCCTTCCCCACAGGGGTGCAGAGGGGATTTTGGGGGGTGTCAGGGGGGAGGAAGGGGCTGTGGGGTTTGTGTGACTGGGGGGGGGGCTCGGGGAGGGCAGCGGGTTTGTGGTTGGTGTGAAAACCCCGTGGAGATGGCTTGGGGGGAGGCCGTGTCCCTTGTCCTTTGGGGAGACCCCTGGCCCAAAGGGGGAGGCCATGTCCCCAGGAGGGAGGCCGTGTCCCCTGGGGGAGATCCTGTCCCCTTGGGGGGTAGCCCTGTCCCCTATCCCTTGGGGGGAAGCCATGTCCCCTGACCCCGGATGGAAGCTGTTTTCCCTGTCCCCTTGGGGGGAGGCCCTGTCCCTCAGGGGAGGCCATGTCCCCTGGGAAGAGGCCGTGTCCCCTACCCCTTCGGGGGGAGGCCATGTCCCTTGTGAGGTGGCTGTGTCCCCTGCCCCTTGGTTGGAGGCCACATCCCTTGGAGGGAGGCCGTGTTCCATGTCCCTTGGGTGAGGCCCTGTCCCTTATGGGATGCCACGTCCCCTACTCCTTGGGGGAAGCCCCATCCCTTGGGAAGAGGCCGTGTCCCCTACTCCTTGGGGTGAGACCCTGCCCTGTGCGGGGAGGCCATGTCCCCTGGAGACAGGCTGTGTCCCCTGTCCCCTGGGGAAGGCCCCGATCCCAGAGCCCCCAGGGGACCCCCCCGGGCCCTAAAGCCTCAGCCTGCCCCCATTCCCCGAGCCTGAAACCGAGGATCAGCCCCACGGGCCCTGCACCCCCACCCCGCAGCGCGGAGCTCCCTTCCCCACCGCCCCTCCACCCCCCCTCTGCCCACCTCAACCCACCCCCCCCAGCATCCCCCGCGGCCCTCATTTACATCCCCCCTCCCTCCACCCAATCACCATCCCCTCCGCGGCCAGCCGGCGACCAATCACCTCCCTCTCCTCCCTCCTCCTCACCCTAGCAACAAGCTCGCGACCCCCCTTCCCTCCACCCTATAGGCGGAGCCAGCGGCGGGCTCATGAATAATTCACGAGCTTGGGGGGCGGGGCTTAAGGGAGGCGGGGTGAAGGGAGGGGGGGGGCGGGAGGCCCCGGCGGCCCGGGCGCGGAGGGGGAGAGACGGTCCCAAGATGGCGGCGCTGCAGGCGGAGCGCGGGTACGGGCTGTCCTGCGGCCGCCTGGGCCGCGGCACCCGCGTCTCCGTTTTTCACGTCAAGCTGACGGAAAGCGCCCTGCGAGCCTTCGAGAGCTACCAGGCCTCTAAGGTAAAACCCCCGGGGGTGTTTTTGGGGGATTTATGAGGTATTTTTTTAATATTTTTTTGAGTTTGGTGTGGGGGGGGGTTGTGAGGAGGAGGAGGGTGAGGAAGGCTCCGCCATGAGGCCGTGGCGCTGAGGGGGGCTTTAAGATCCCCTTCGGCCTCCTCCTCTTCCTCCTCCTCCTCGAAGGGGCCTTGGGTTGTGGGGTGAGGGGGGGCGGTTCCCCTCCCCCCCCATGGTGTGAGCCCCCCCCCGTGGTGTGAGGCCTCCCCCGTTGTGTGAGCCCCCCCTTTTTGAGGGAAAATGAGGAGATTTTGGGGATTTCGGGGGTTGGGAGGAAGGTTTTTGGGGGATTTCTGCCCCCCCCGGCTCTGTTTGAGGCCATAGGGAGGTGGGGCTGGGGGTTTTGCCCCCCCCCCCTCCAAATTCTGTGTGAGGAGATGGGGGCACGCGGCCCCCCCCCGATTCTGAGGGGGGGGGGCCTGAACGCCCTAATTCTGTGTGGGGAGATTGGAGGAACGCGGCCCCCCCCCCCATTCTGGGGGAGGTGGGGGAGGTTCTGCCCCCCCCCAGCTCTCTGTCAGAGGATGGGGACACCGCCCCCCCCCCCCCATTTATAGGGGGAGATGTGGGGGCGATCCCATCCCTACAGGCCTGAGGGTGGGGGTGGGGGCTCGCTGCCCCCCCCCGTGCCCTGATGGCCTTGGGGGGGGGCGCACCCCTGTCCCTGCCCCCCCAAATCGGTGTTTGAAGGGTGTCGGTGCCCCCCCCACCCCCATAGGTGAGTGTTTGGGGCGTATTGTGCCCCCCCCGGTGAGCCCTTGGTGGGGCTGGGGGGTGTCGGCGTGTGGCCCCCCCAGAAGGTGACTTGTGGGGGGGGGACACATCTCAGTGCCACCCCCTAGGGCTCTTTTTGTCCCTTCTCCTCGGTGACCGTGGGGTCCCCAAATCGCTGTCACCCCCCCCCAAGCCTGGTGCGACGCTCCCAGGGGGGGTGGGGGGGGGCGGCTTCGTTCTGGGGCCGTATTTTGAAATTTCCAGATTGTCTCTTCCGAGAGCTTTCCTTGAACGGCGGCCAGGGAGCTGCTTCGCCGGGTAAATACGGAATAATGGCAACGCGCGGCATCTGTCGCCGCCGTGCAGCGGGGAGGAATGAGGGAGCTGTGCTTTTCAGTGCGGTTTTTGTCTTTTTTTTTTTTATTTCCCCCCCCCCCTTTCCTCCTCTGATCCCGCAAGGCTGTAGCCGTCTTCACCTTGCCGGGGAGCTGTGGGGGGGGGGGGGGGAGCTGGGAACCCAACCCGTTTGTCATTAGCAGCGTCCTGCCTGCCAGCTTCTGTAGGATAAACCATATGTTGTCACCGCACTATTTTTAATTTGGGGTGTTGGTTACATCACGGCGCTGAATTGGGCAATCTCGGCGTGAGGACGAAGGTAATTGCCGTGCCAGGCTTTATCAACTTGGATTTTAATGAGTGTTTATCGGCGCTGCGAGGCTTCAGGAGCAATAAAGGTAGCTCGGACAGGCCGGGTTGATAGCTTTTTTTTAATTTTTTTTTCTGAAAAATGGAAAATAAAAAAAGAAATGGGGAGAAATTCGTGAGGGAACGAGGGGAGAGCCTTTTCTTTCGGGGGAGGGAGAAGTAGGAAGGCTCCAGGCAGCTGCGTTAAATATTTCGGGCGGCTATTCTGGGGCCGCGTCGCGCATGAATCGTGGTGTTTATTTTCTAAATGAAGTCTGGTCTCGGGCTCGTTCGGTGGCCGAGGGCCACTAATGAACTTTGCTTCCTTCCCCGCCGCCCAGAGGAGGAACAGGCAGAGGCTGCTGGTGATTAACTGGGCAGGAGAGGAGAAGGGCAGGGGAGCTGGCCGGTCGGGGCAGCGAACGCCGCCGCAATTAGTGGGCTGCTGAACACGCACGCTCCTGCTCTCAGCAGCTTCTCCAGCCCCTGCTCCGCCGAGGATCTCCGTGGGCTCCCGTTTAGTTTGCTCTGCAGTAGGTAAATGGGGAAAAAAAAATGGGGGAATGTCTCCAGCCGCTTGCTTGAGTTGGTTTTTGGTCTGCTCATCGCGTGTTGGGGTGACGGAAATCCAAAAAGCAGCGCCCGGCCGCTTGGGTTTAGTGCCCCTCGTGTCAGAGCGCTCGGTGTGGGGCTGTGCCCTGGGCAGAGCAGGCAGCAGGGCTGTGGGGAAGCAAAATTTGTCCTCCTGAGCCTCTCCCTGCCAAATTGTCTGCGTCCCAGCGAGGAAATCCGATGGGTTTTGGTGCAGTGGTGCCTGGTGTTTGAGGACTGCGCGCTCCTCGCGGTCTGTGCGAGGTCTTTCTTCAGTGAGGGCAGGGTACCTGAAAGAAAAAAGTCATCTCGTAGCAAAAACGCCGTGGGGTTTCTTGAGGGGCCCCGCGGGAGGTCACCCACCTGCTCCTTGGGGCGCTCGCAGCCTTCTGAAACCGCTCCCCCGTGGTTGTGGAGCTGAGCGCTGCGTGCTGGGAGGCTGCCCCACTCGGCACTGGCCCCATCCCTTACCCCAAACCCACTCCTGGCTCTCCAAGGGACCCCCTCCACCATCCCCTTCCCTTTCCTGCATCCCTTTGGGTGTCCGTGGGGGCTGTGTGGAGCCTTCCCAACTCCCCCACCCCAAAAATCAAGGCGTGATTTCTTCCCATCCCCATTTATCTGCCCCCAGCTCCTGCAGCGTGGGGCGAGGGGCACGGGAACCCCTCGTGCCTCTGCCTCGTTTCCCAATTTTCCTTCTTTCCCACCCTTCAGCAGCATCCCGGGGGCCCTGCTATGGAGAAATCTTCACTCCGTGGGTGAAGCTACGTGGCAGACCTGGCTGTAGGGCCGCTGCTGCTGGCTTGGAAAAAAATCCCGGAACCCTTCCCCGGGAATTTCCCCGCTTTCACCTATTTATCTAAAAAACGGGTGGCGTGGTTTAAGGAGCAGAGCTGGCGAGCCTGCACGGTGCCTTCTGATCAAAAAGGAGCTGACGGCGGCCGTGTGCCTTTTTTCTTTTATTTAGGGCTTTATGGGGCCGGGCAGCCCCTGCGGATGCCAGATTTTGGGAGGGCGTCGGGGGGCTCTGGCACCCCCGCTGCGGACAGGGCGATGCTGGAGGTGGTGCTCCCGTGCTGACTCCTCCCTGCCCCTGCCACACGAAACATTTTGAACCACAGCCACCGCTCGGTTTGCTGGTGAACTTCGGCAGGTGCACAAATATTTATCGGGGGGTTGGGTGCAGATAACCCAAGCCCGTTAACCCCAGGCTTTGTTAAATCAAATTTTGGAACCGTGGTGTGGCGAGCGCGGCTTCCGAGCCGCCTTCCCTGTGCTTTAATCCGGCAAAAGTTTCTCCCTCGAAGCTGGGGTTGAGCAGAGCCCCGAAGCTGCCGGGTTTTGCGAGGACTTTTCCAGCCTCTGCCTTTCGAGCAGGGCTCTGCGGGGGCTGCGTGGTGCCGGCCGGGGAGCTGAGAGCCTCTCGCAGGTGTCAGAGGGAGAAGCCCGAGCTGGCTTTTGAATCAGGCCTCATCGAATTTTATCTGCGGGCTCTTTGCATCACTCCTCTTTTTCCTCTAACCTGTTTTTTCCTGCCCTCTTAACTCACCCATGCCGTCGTCCGTCAGAATCGAAGCTCTTACGCCATCGGGAACATGAGCCGGTGACACGACGCGATGAATCAGCCCAGGGGAGGCTGCCCGGGGAGGAGGAAGCTCGTCGTACACGTAGGGCTCCTCGCCATCAGCACAAACGGGACAGGATATGCAGAACGAACCTTCCCCTGCTGCCCTGCCCTCCCCGAGCGAGGCAGGGGACAAAGAAACGCCTGACACGGGGCACGGGGAACGTGCCGGCCCCTGGCGCTTCCCGTTGGCTGATTTGGGGTAGCTTTTTCCCTCGCCCATGTAGCATTTAGGGCCGCCGAAATTAGAGCTTCGTCTCTGTACTTTTCAAATTGCACGGGGAAGAATTGTCTGTAATTTACATCCAAAGTGACGTACAGTTGCTATGGGATTCGGTGGCAAATTATAAACCCATTATGCTTTTTTTTTTTTCTTTTTTCTTTTTGTGCTGGTGGTAGCAGACTACAGAAGTAGGTCTAATTGGTGCCGTGCCAGGGGAAAATAGAAAGTTTGGGACAGAATCCCTGCGACTCAGGGTGCTTTTTTACCAGTGGGATCTGCTTTTTATCAGCAAATCGTCCGCCCTGAGAGGAGGCGATTAATCAGAGGGGTCGAGTTTGGCCTGTAAGAACTTCTTGCTCTCAACAGCTCTGGGGGAAGCGAACCTGAGGATTAACCCCTGAGATTTTTATATTTTTAAGGAGTATTTTGGCACTCATATCAATGGATCCAGCAGCTGGATCCTGGTGATTCCGAGGCTAAACCCGTGCTCCTGGTCAGCTCGCTCCGCAGTTGGTTTCTTACTGAACTCAGACAGCACCAAAGGTGGAAATGAATCAATTTTTTACGTTGCTCTGAAGCAGGTCAGACAAAATACGTGTCAGATACCCCCAAGGAGCAGTCAGCCCACCTCGCAGTGCCCTTTTGGGACCGGCGGGTGATCCTACAGCATCGGGCTCCTTCTGAATCCCTCCGGCCTGTCCAGTTGGGTTTTGTCATAGCGCCTCTTGGCAGAGCTCGGTGCCTGTTGAAACACCTTCCCCACACCGTGCCGGCTCCGTGGGGGTGGCACGAGAGCCTCTTGCTGCTGTGCTTGATTTGGGGAAGCGTTTGGGGTCTCGTTAGCCTGCTCCACGTTGCCTGCGGAGCGATTCCTGTGTGCCTGGCTCTGGCTGTGACTTGTAAAACCTCTCCAAATCCCGGCGTTTGTGCGTGGCGGGGTGGGCAGGGACAGGCCGCGTGCGTCACGCTCGTGTGTGTGTGTGTGTGTGTGTGTGCCAGCTAATCCGCGGGAGAAAGAGCACGTTTCGGCTGACTGAGGGGTTCTGCTGCTCACACACAGGAGGAGAGGGGGCTGCATGGGATGGGGTGGGCTTCGGAGAGGTGCTG